TCTTGACAATTTCCAAATACTTCTCAATATTTTTTTTTTAGTATTGAACTAGGAGATAAGTAATATTATATATAATTATATTAGGCCCGCGTATACGAGGATATATTTTAAGGTTTTTTGAAATAAATCACAGAAAAATATTAAACCAAATCTTATCACTTTTTAAAGTAGGTAAAACAATATTGAGAACCCAATATTGAGAACCCAATCTTATCAAGAATCGCCTTGCTACGGATGACCGGATGCTAGAATGGGGACAAGAGCAAAGCTGTGTGTTTTGTGGAGAAAGGGATGAGACAAGGGATCACCTGTTTTTTGCCTGCCTTATACCTATTCGATCTGGTCGGTATTATGTGAAAGCCTCCTTGGAGCTGCGACAACACCTGACTGGGCGGACACAATTCATGTCCTCACGAGACGTATACTTTCCAGCCTTTAGACCACATTTTGCTTCAGATGAGCTTCCAGACATCCGTCTACTTCATTTGGAGGGAACGTAAAGCATGTAGGCAGTGCCGGCCCAAGGGTTTTGGTGGCCTAAAGCTTTTTTTTTTAAATATAACTAACTTTGTAATTGTATTTAATATTAAAAGCAAAAATAGGATAAAAATGATAAAAGACCTTGATGTCAATAAGGCTCGAACTCAAATCTTAGGGGAGTATGAGAGCAACACTACCATAAAGATATTATTCTTTTACAATTTCTAGCTTCCCCCTTTCGAATAACAAGTATTATAGTATGAGATAATTTTGATTTTGATTTAGTTAATTTAGAGTGAGATAATTTAGAGTGAGTTAATCTATACTATTAAAATGGAAGCAATCAAGGGTGCATGCTAGAATTATTCCTGTCACCAAACAGAATTATCCCAGTTATCCGAATTTTTCAGAATAACCCAGAAGGAAACTGGGTCGGATCCTCTTAAAAAGACCATTTACCCCCACGTTTTTCAAAGGAGAATTTTTTGGAGTGAGGTCATTTCTGTCCAGAACACATTTCGGACCCTTGCTGTTTGGAAACAGGGATAGGCAAGAAAAAGTGTCGAAAGTGTCAAAAGGGGACAGACATCGGATCTTCGACCGACCCGCAAAAAAAACACGCGGATCCTAGACTTAAATCGGACCGGCCAAATAACCGGACGAAGCTCACATTCGAAAGATTTTCCTCTGTTTCAAGAAATTCCGTTATTGGACGTCCCGAAATCTTTTCAAATCATTCGAAAATCGCCAAGTAAAGAAAACATACCTAAGAACAGGTCCTAATAACTAATACAAAAGAATTCCTTCATCCTCGGGACATATCAATGAGATATCCCATAACATGCTCCTGCAGTTAATAAAATATATACGAAATCAAACGAGATATCACTTCAGATATTATTACATTGATAAACTAATAGATTAGGGAAATATTTCCAACCTCAACAGATTTGTAATCCAAGAGAATATGCCGTGGGCAGCAATTCTGAAACCTCCGAAGCCCTAGGCATAAGATACAACTCCAAACATTATAAATATGTAGCCTTTGTCACATTAAAGGTCATCAAACATCAAACACATCTATTTTACCTCCTCCTCGCAAAAATGACTATTGGATGCGCCTTCGCCAAGCTTGCTGATGTCCGACCTTTCAAGACAACATGGAAGGTCCGCGTTAAGGTGATTCACTCCTGGAGGCAGTACAGCGGCATGTCCGGCGAAACGATGGATCTGGTTCTCGCTGATGAACATGTAAGTTTAAAACCTATATGTAAATTACAATGCTAATCGTATGTTTCAGTTTGCGTTATAATGACAAGTACCTATACTTATATTTCCAGGGTACTAAAATGCATGCTGGAATTAAGAAGAAGGATATAGGCCGGTTATCAAAGCTTCTGGTCGTTGGTGAATGGAAAGTGTTGGAGAACTTTCAGGTATCTCCTGCAACCGGGCTATTTCGACCAACTCCAAGCAACTGGAAGATTGGGTTGTCCATGAACACAATCGTTACCACATGCAGCATCAAAGTGGACGACATGTTCCTTTCGTTGGTACCTATCCAGACGATCCTAGATGGTGATTTGAATCACAATTTCTTGATTGGTAAGTAATCTATCCGTGCTTACAATCTACATCTGATGTATACTATTAAATTGCTGACTTGAAATGAGAGAACTTACATATTCAATCGGGAACTTGTGTACATGTTTTCCAGATGTCATTGGACAGGTTCTTGATGTCAGTGAGATCAAAACTGTTCCTGTACTTGGGAGAGAAAAGCGGAAGCTAGAGTGCGTGCTTAGGGACATTAAGTAAGTATATATACACTTATCATCAGTTCAATCTGTGGTTATATTCTCTATATGTCTAAGTATTTTCTTAATAAATTTTGCAGTGATCAGAGAATCAACTGCTGTCTTTGGGCGGATACGCTGACCAACTGTACGAGGCATGCAGTAAAGCTAATGGGAAAACATTAATTTGTTTGATCAGATTTGCGAAACTCAACTTTTATCAAGGCAAGCTTATACATCAACTATATATCAACCTGATTGCAACCAAATCAACTTCGTTTAAACATTTTTGAGATATGAAACTATTTCTATTAGGTGATATGCAAGTAACTAATGCTTTTGACGCATCTAAGCTTATCATCAACCCTATTTGCGAAGAAGCAGATGCTTTCAGGATTGGGTTAGTAATATGTCTAAACTATATTTTTGCTAGGATTGTTTTAATTTACACAATATAGAAGAAGAAAACTAACCTTCTGTACTTGATGCCTTCAGCTTGCCAGATGACGGTGCGATTGTTGTCATCCAAGAGGATGATGAAGAGGCTGAGAAGCAAAGGATAAAGGAGCAGGAAGATGCGTGGCTGGCGTTGGAAATGAAATCTGTGTATGACATTCAGAATGCTACTGAGGTAAACACATTCATATGTAAGACAAATAGATTGAACGATTTGATAGTGATTTACTTATCTAAAATAATGTAATACCTCGCAGATAGAGAAATTCAGGATTTCTGTCAAAGTGACTGGAATTGATACCGACTGGGGTTGGTATTATTTCGGATGTGGAAAGTGCCAGTTCAGGGTCACCAAGGATCTGAAGAAGGAAGGAGCCACAAAACCTCGCCCCAAAGCACCCGTGTGGTACTGTGACAGATGCAAATCAAATGTCAAAACTGTTGAAGCAAAGTGAGTAGTTCCAAATTTTTTTCGAATGTTTTGGTTCATCAGTATAGATATAATAGTTGCCATTGTGATCACATGGAATATTTGCATATGCAGGTTCAAGTTGCACCTTCTGGTAGAGGATGACTCGGCCAAAACAAAGGTTATGCTTCTTGATTCCGTTGCTTATGGCATCGTGGATAAAACAGCTTCCTTCCTGCTAAACGGATCATACGATGAGGTAATATCATTATCAGAAGCTGCATAATATGTTTCCTGTTATACTAGCTCACGTTTTAACGAGATGCCTATTTATTATGAAAAAAACAGATTCAGGATCCAGAATTAATACCCGATGACGTCAAGAGTTTAGTTGGAAAAAGTTTCGAGTTTCTGGTCGGTGTCGAGAAGGAACACATTGTGTATGGAAATGACACCTACAAGGTGCATAAGGTAAAGAAAGGACTTCTCATTCTCGACACGGAATCTGGCGATGGACCATTCATTGCCATTGATAATGGTTCGACCATTGCATCTGGCGAGGAGGTTAGCACACCCTGTTCTCTTACATTCACGTTAAACCCATTTTGTATTGAAATGAACATAATATGAACTTTGATTAATCTTTGAATCCTCACCTATGTTTTAGTTGTCGGTTGTCAAGAGTAACAGCCAAAGCATTTCAGATGATGGTTCAACCCCATCACCGAAGCGTGATTTTGAATCAATGCATGGTGTCCCAGCCGGCTCTTCCACTTCGAAGAAGCATTGCCCCAAGCAACTTCCTACAGAGGCCAGTAGAGAGCTGGTCAATCCGGATGGACTAATTAGCCAGCATCCCGAAGCAAATAAGAGCGAAGCTAAGCTCCACCAACTCACCGAGAATTGACGTTAAGCGTAGCATGCAGAAGAGTCTCCAATAATTTATTGTTTTCAATCAAGGATCGAGCTTATGTTCTCCATGTGTTTTTATTTTGCTACACAGTTGGTTTTCTATTTATTTCATTTCTTTTTCTGGCAACTTTTTAAAATAATGGAGCTTTTGTTTTACATTTGATTTGCTTAATATATTTTTCTATATCAACTATCAATACACAAATACAACATGGAGACTTTTCCAAACTGAGTAGGATACGTACCTAATAGATGCCAGATTTCAACATGCTCTGAAACGTCATATACTAAATTAACCGCAGTTATTGGATTACCTGCAAGTAATGTGATCTACAAATGTTCAAGATGGTCTAACCCGTATATATTCATAAACCTAGACAAATATAACTCAAACTTTATTGGAAATAATGTGATCTATCTTTAAATAATGTGAGGGTGTCAATAGACATGTTTTTGCAAAAGATGGCACTCTAATTATATTATATAACCAAATTATAATCGAGGTCAAAATACAATTAATTGGACGATTAAATATTCTGTTTGAGATTTGTATTTTGTAAAAGTTAGTTGTTCATATAAGTGGGAATGTTTATATATTTGAAAAGTTTGGTGAAACCGGGAATCTCAATTGTTATATTTTAAGCTTGCCGCCATGTACAATTATAAGATTTTGAATAATCGAATGAGATCTCCGGAGTATCTTAGATTGGTTAAACTAAGGAAGAAGTATTTAGCAATGAACAATTGTACATGGATAGATATTACCTCTTTCACAAAGATGACCTTCAGTGAAACATCCCCTGCGTAACCTCTTAAAAGAAATCACAAGGAGGTTAATTAGAAGAGAAGCAGGTATTGTCAAACAGACCATTGTGATTTTCCTTTGACCAAAAAACTTTGTCTACATTTCTACGTAACTTAGACCTTTTTGTTTATGCAGTTGGAAAATGGTTCGTCTTAAAAATGTAGGCACAGACACGTTTAATAAGAACACTAAACCTCCAGTCACGAGGAAGAGGAAATTGACCGCAAGTAACAATGAAAATGTAGATCCAAATTCAGAACCGGTAACAGACACCCATCTCCTTTTTTTATTGTCATATTGATGAAGTAGGATCATGATGATGATTTGGTTTTCATGGTTAGGTGAAAAATCAAAATGAAAACAAAGGTTCAGCTGCGAAACTCACTGCTAAAGCAAATATTCAACCTAAGAGAAGCAGAAAGAAAACGAAGGACGTGAACACTGAACCAAATGCAGCAACGAGAATTAGCGATAAGTGTAATAACAACACTAAACCTCCAGTCACGAGGAAGAGGAAATTGACCTCAAGTAACAATCCAAACTCAGAACCGGTAACAGACACCCATCTCCTTTTTTTATTTTATTATCTAATTGATGAAGTAGAATAATGATGACCATTTGGTTTTCATGGTCAGGTCAAAAATCAATCTGAAAACAAAGGAGATGCTGCGAAAGTCACTGCTAAAGCAAATATTCAACCTAAGAGAAGCAGAAAGAAAACGAAGGGTGTTAACAATGAACCAAATGCAGCAACGAGAATGAGTGGACCATGTATACTCTCAAATATATTTTTAGAAAACTAATTGATGATGTTGAAGGCATATCTAAACGAACTACCATCCCGACGAAGGAAAAGCCTAAACGTAAGAATGGAAAACCAGTCGGGCCAACACTTTCTACACAAGGTAATGCTTATCGTCCATGTTTTTATGCAATGAATATATCCTGTATATGCACACCTCTAAATAAGAATTAAGAAGTTAACTATGTATCTGTTTAACAAACAGAAAATGAGTCAAGGGTACAGAACTTACAAACGAGGAAGAGACAACGTGGAAGGAGAGTACTGCAGGATATCTCAAACTTGCCAGATGACGATGATGTTTCTGTAGGACTTTCGGATGATAACCTGGATGAAGAACGACCACATAACTATCCGGATCTTTTAAACTCTGATGAAGGTGATAATATTATATTATGATTTTATACATTGTAAACGTTAGCCTAGATCTGTAACTTATCATCGTGATTTGTATTAACAGACGATGAAGGGGATTACGAACACATTTTCCAATGTAGTAGTCCTGATAGCACAGACACAGAAGATGGTGATAATGATAAATACCAACCTTCTCCATCACATCTGCAACAAACGCATATCTCCGAACAAGAACCTCCTTCGACCGTACACATAGTTCCAACACTTCCTGAGAGTGTGATTACTCAAGAAACTGTTCAACCTTCTCCAACTCTGAAAAAACGAAAGAGAGTTAGTATGGCAAAAAAGAAAGAAACTGTACCCGATAAGATTGGTAAGCTAATTAGAAACAACGTGTCATATGTATGATGCAACATCGAACTTTTTGTATAGTAAATCCTGATTTGTATGTTCACTGTGTTGTGCAGTATACAATGACGAGGGTGACATGACTTATTCGTGCGTGCATTGTGGTGCTAAATTTTGGTATGGAGAACGACTAAACAGAAGAAGGAGGACGGGGGATCCATCATTCAACCTTTGTTGTATGCACGGCCAAGTCAAATTGCCTTTACTAAAGGATCCTCCTGCTCTTATTAAAAAATTGCTGTTTGGGGATGATGAAATGAGCAGGCACTTTCAAAAATTTATCAGAATCTACAACATGTTGTTCTCTATGACGTCTCTCGGAGGTAAAACTGATCGTTCTATCAAAAAAGGAAAGGGTCCAAACATGTTTCAGCTGCACGGAGAAAATTACCACCTAATTGGAAGTATGCTTCCAAACCCCGGTGATTATGCAAAATTCTATCAGATGTACATAGTTGATTCTGAAAATGAATTGGACAACAGACTGAATTTTTTCAGGTAATATATTTTAGTTTAAAGCTATTGTCATAATAATTATGAAGTCATTACCAATTTAGGGTTTTGTCATTGCGTTTCAGTAAGGGGAAACACGCATCCAAGCCAGATAAGAAGAATAGACTCAGGAAGGACATCATTGATGCGCTGACAAAGATGCTCGACGATGTCAACCCCTATGTCAAGAATTTCAGGACTGCAAGAGAAAGATTCAACACTAATCCTGAAGATAGTTTTCATATGAGGATAATTAGTGATCGTGTTACAGATGGTAGAACTTACAATGTTCCAACTGTGTCTGAGGTTGCTGCAATTATTCCCGGAGATTTCAATTTAGAAATGGGTACAAGACGGGATATTGTTCTAGAGAAACGATCAGGCAAGCTGCGACGGATAAGCGAAATCCATCCAGCCTACATACCACTGCAATATCCTCTGGGGTTTTCTTATGGAGAAGATGGTTTCCGACTTGGAATTAAGAAAGCCAATGTTGAAGCTTCTAAGAAGACGAAAAAGGAAAACATCAGCGTTAGACAGTTTTTTGCGTATCGTCTAATGGTTAGACCAAACGAGTCAAATCACTTGCTACACTCTAGGAGATTGTTCCAGCAGTATCTGGTTGATACCTACACTATGATAGAGTCTAACAGATTATCCTACTTGAGATTGAACCAGACAAGTTTGAGGTCTGATAGCTATGACTCTATCAAACAAGCGGAAGACCACGGTGTTATTGAAATGGATGAACAAGGCAATAAATTTCTGCTACCTGCGAGTTTCACTGGTGGACCAAGATACATGAGGGAGTTGTATTTTGACGCCATGGCCATTTGTAGACATCATGGATTTCCAGATCTTTTCATTACTTTTACATGCAATCCTAAATGGCCAGAAATATCAAGGGATCTCGCAGGGACCCGTCTAAGTGCCACTGATAGAGCTGAACTTATTAGCAGAGTCTACCGGATGAAACTAAAATCTCTTATGGAAGATCTAACTCTCAAAAACCTGCTGGGAAAAACGGTGGCCTGTAAGTTTACGAAGCCCCTACTTTTATCGTTGATATCTGATATGCATATTCCTATATGTTGATAACTATTTATCTAACGATGAGACATGATTGGCAATGCAGCTATGTACACCATAGAATTTCAAAAGCGAGGTTTGCCACATGCACACATTCTTCTATTCATGGATCAGAAGTCAAAGCTCCAGACAACAGACGCTATTGACGATATTATATCCGCCGAAATACCAGATAAATCAAAAGATCCAGAGTTGTATGATGTTGTGAAAGATATGATGATTCATGGACCATGTGGTCATGCCAACCCCAATTCACCATGTATGAGCAATGATATATGTACTAAGAACTTCCCCAAGAGCCACGCTGAAAAGACTACAATCAATAGAGAAGGATTCCCATTATATAGGAGACGCGATCAGCCCAATGTGTTTGTGGAGAAGAACGGTTTTAAATGCGACAACAGATACGTAATTCCATACAACAAAACCCTATCCGTCCGTTATAGAGCACACATCAATGTTGAGTGGTGTAACCAGACGGGGGCTGTCAGATATTTATTTAAGTACATCAACAAAGGAGCCGATCGTGTTTCTGTTGTCGTTGAGTCAGCTGAGGAAGCCAGGAGAAAAACAAAGAGCGGACATAAGGATGTTAGTGGAGATGCCAACAGTCGATCAAATGATGAGGGTGTTAGCGCAGAGAAGAAAGCTTCCAAGGAAAATAGGAATGAGATCAAGGACTACTTTGATTGCCGGTATGCTTTATTATTTGTCTTTAGCCTCCATTTAAGCGATATGACTGTTTTCTTAGCTGTGGTCATATCATTATCTTTTATTTTAGGTACATTTCACCCTCTGAAGCTGTTTGGAGAACATTCAAATACCCGATACACCATAGATCTGTATCAGTGGAGAAACTGACATTCCACCTCGAAGGGAAACAGTTGGTTATTTACAAAGGTAGTGACAAAATGGAGAGGGTCGTAACACGTAAACTAATTGAGAAGACAATGATGCTGGCATGGTTTGAACTGAACAAGGAGTGTGAATTTGCTAGAACGCTTACCTATGTTCAGATTCCAAATTATTTTACCTACGTAAAAAGTGAAAAACGCTGGAAACGTAGAAAGAGAGGATTCAGCATTGGAAGAATCAATTACGCACCAAGGAAGATTGAAGATGCTTACTATTTGAGAATGCTGTTAAACGTCGTGAGAGGTCCAAGATCGTTTGAGGAGATAAAGACCTATAATGGTGTGTTGTACCCTGAATTTAAAGATGCCTGTTACGCTAGGGGCCTGCTAGAGGATGACCAAGAGTATATCGATGATATTTGCAGAAGAAGCTTCACATGTCCTCCATCACAACTTCGCCAGTTGTTTGTCATCATGCTTACTTCAGATAGTCTGATTTCGCCAGATGTAGTTTGGTATGCGTGTTGGGAGTTTCTTTCTGACGACATGGAGATGATTAGAAGAAGAGATCTTAATAGACCAGGTACAATATCTTCACTGGCTTTATTTCCTTAATTTTTTTTTAAAAAAATAGGAATCTATTTACTAAATAGTATTGTCAACGAATTTCAGCACTTACGCTAAGTGACGAAGACAAAAGGGAATATGCTCTCCAGGAGATTGTAAAGTTAGTAAAAAGGAATGGCGCTGACTGGACGAGGTTTAAAAGTATGCCTCAACCACGGGGAGTTACTTATTCAGCTACCGATAATGTTCTAATTTTTGATGAAAAGAGTTATGAAAAAGAGGAGCAGAAAACAAACCACGACAGAGACTTTGCTAAGCTTACTCCTGAACAGAAGAAAGTGTATGAGGAAATAATTGGTTCTGTTTTAGCGAGAAAAGGAGGAGTGTTCTTTGTATATGGCTTTGGTGGAACTGGAAAAACATTTTTGTGGAGGATTTTGTCTTCTGCAATTAGATACAGGGAAGAGATCGTTTTAAATGTAGCTTCAAGTGGTATAGCATCACTACTGTTACAAGGAGGCCGCACGGCTCATTCCAGGTTTGGGATACCTCTGAATCCAGATGAGTTTACTACATGTGTTATGAGCAAAGGTTCTGATCTAGCAAATTTGGTCAAAGAGTCGTCTCTTATTATATGGGACGAGGCTCCTATGATGAGTAGGCATTGTTTCGAGTCTTTGGATCGAAGTCTTTCAGACATTATTGGTAATAAAGATGGAAAGCCGTTCGGAGGTAAAGTAATTGTGTTTGGAGGTGATTTCAGACAAGTTCTTCCAGTAATACCTGGTGGTGGTAGGGCACAAATAGTAGGAGCCTCGCTGAACTCATCTTATCTTTGGAAACACTGCAAAGTTTTAAAACTGACAAAGAACATGAGGCTCTTATCTGGTAATCTGAGTGAAGAAGAAGCAAGAGACCTAAAGGAATTTTCAGAGTGGATACTCGATGTTGGTAATGGAAGAATAGCGGAACCTAATGATGGTGAAGCTGAGATCGAAATTCCTGAGGAATTCCTTATAATGGATGAAGAGGAGCCTATTGAATCTATAAGCAGGAAGATCTATGGAAGTTCCGAGGCTCTGCAGGACAACACGGATCCAAACTTTTTCCAAGGAAGAGCAATTCTTTGTCCTACGAACGAAGATGTCGACAAGATAAACCAGCACATGCTAGACAAATTGAATGGTTAGTCAGTTTCCTCAGTTTCTACTATTTTACGATTTGTAACTAACCTAAATTGATATCTATCAGGAGAGGAACGAATTTATCTCAGCTGTGATACCTTGGATCCTTCAGACTCTTCTGCCATGAATGACGAGGCTCTAAGCACGGAATTCTTAAACAGCATCAGAGTTGCTGGCTTACCTAACCACAGTTTGAGACTGAAGGTTGGGTGTCCGGTGATGTTGCTAAGGAATATTGATCCAATAGGAGGTCTAATGAATGGAACAAGGCTGCAAATTACTCAACTAGCTGACTTTATGGTAGAAGCTAAGGTTATTACCGGAGACAAGATTGGAGCCAAAGTTATCATTCCTCGACTCACCATTACACCATCAGATGCGAGGCTTCCATTCAAGATGAGAAGAAGACAATTGCCTCTATCTGTTGCTTTTGCCATAACTATTAACAAGAGCCAAGGCCAGTCCCTGTCAGAGGTTGGAATTTACTTGCCAAGACCCGTTTTCTCTCACGGACAACTCTATGTTGCTATCTCCAGGGTTACGTCGAAAAAAGGATTGAAGATTTTGATCGTGGATAACAAGGGCAAGCCACAGAAGAAGACAACGAATGTTGTCTTCAAAGAAATTTTCCAGAATCTCTAACCATGGTCTTCTGTAGAAGATCCTATTCGAAGAGGTTTTAATTTGTTATGCTTCTAGAGATCTTATGTAGAATAACTCATTCATATCGAATGAGTCACACCGAAACTATTTTTCATGAATTTTCTATCTGTAGAAGATTGAACTACATGATATCATTTTTTATTTTTACCAAAGATATTGCGATGATGATGAACGAACACATAAACGATCAACCAGATTTTAAAATATCTAATTCTTTATTCAGAAAACTATATAAGATCGAATACTCAATATAAGCAATTAGTTGAAAAAGCCGTTCACTATTTCTAGCCCATTCAAACTACGTAATTCGATTAAACGATGACAGTTAATATCAAGCCCAAACTCAATGCTTACCTTACGTGATGTCTGAACTGAATCCTGTAAACGGTTAGTTAAGGTTCGTTTCTTCAAAATGCACCTACAAAAACACAAAAACAATTTTTCAAAAGAGTCATTAATATTTCCCACATAAATTAAGTATCTATATAGTAATATTGCAAAGAATATGACGTCAATCTACACTAAAATCCGAATCTAGACTTTCAGTAAATTAAATACCGGATTCTACGGTATAGTCAAACACGGAAGTTATATTTATATTAAATGCGGTCAAAAAAAAAATCTCAACAAAATCTAATTATATTGTATTCTCGGAAAATCTCATTGCTACATAAAGATCATTACCCTTATATAAATATTCTTCCATCTTAACTCAAACCATCACAATCTTAAAATAATAGATCTCGATAATTTTCCAATGTTGAACGACGTTAAACTCGCACGAGTGGGACCAAACCGTCACGATTCGAGGATTACTGTTAAAGTGTTAAAGATCTGGGATACAATTCATGTCGACACCGGTGAAGGGCTCAGTTTCCTCTTTCTCGATGACGAGGTTACTGTTACAGTTTCAAAGTAATTTTATTTTGAAACTAATTTTACATGATACGAATGGATTTCTTAATTTATTTTCACAATTGCAACAGGAACGAAGATGCATGCATTGGTGGAAAGAAAAGATCAGCATAGGAGATTTAGGAGACTACTTCATGAAGAAGAGTGGAAGACCATATCTGGTTTCAAAGTTCGTACATTTACTCCTAGAATTCGTTTGACCAAACAAAGGAAAGAGATTTTCCTCACTTCTGAGACACAAGTTGATGATGCTGACGCCTTTGATGGTTTTATTCCGTTGGATCTAATTCCATTTGGAGATGTTATGCGTTTGGAGTTCATGCTGGAACTGTTTATCTTAGAGGTTATTTCCAACTATATATCTTTAATTTGTACTAAATCATCCCTGTGAATAAACTTATTTTGTTTTGAAGTTACATATTCTGCTTAATCGGAAGTTTCATGTTTTTTAATTGTAACAGACTTCATAGGCCAAATATTATTTTCTCATGAGTTGGGTGTCATCAAAGATCGTTCTCTTCCTAGGAACAGATTGAACCTTTACGAGAAATATACCAGCAAGATTGACTTTGTGATGCGGGACAACGTGTAAGTTTATATCTACTATATTCCTAATCTCTTTAAAATTAATTACTGGACTATGTAGTATTTATCTGAGACACACTTTTTTATTTGATTTTAGTGGCAATAGATTAAACGTTCGTGTAAAGGGACAGTTAGCAGATAAATTCAAACTCTTCTGGCTTTGTTACGCCAACTGTGGAACAAATATTGTTCTGTTAACTGACTGGCGTGTTGTTGGAAATGATGGTAAGCTCATTCGTGTTGTTATAGTAATATTCTGTAGCAGATTTTCCAATTGTCTTCTTATGTAAACTATATAACATCTTCAATTTTGATTTAATATACAACTAGGTGGTATAAATGTTGAAAGCTCTCCTGGTATCTCTATTTTAAGGACACTTTGGAACATTTCGAGAATACATTGTAAGTTTTATAATTTGAAAGTCCATTCTTGCTAAATGACTTATCTTACATAAGACTCACTAGCCATGATCGATAATTTTTTATATTGTTTTCTTTTTACAGAGAAGCTGAGGTTGATGATAGCGATGATGATTGAGAATCTGAAGACATGGATGTTTAAATCATTATCTTTCCTGCTATCTATGTGTAACTTAACTATGAGAACCATGCTATTGTTATTTAAGTTTACTTTCAAGTTAAGATTAAAGGTTTCAGTTGATCTACTGTTTTCGAAACCACTAAGTCAGAAAATGTTTTTATATAATTTATTCAGGCACAGAAATACTGATTCAATGTAAATGTCAGTAAAGCAAGATATTGGTCCAATAACAGGGTTTACCTTTATATTCTGGAGAGTCATAAACCAGTATAGGTAACCGTTCCCAAAAGCTGAGTATCTACCTGCCAAAACACATAAAAATGTTCAAGAATTTTAATCCACAGAAGAATACCGGACTGAAAGGATGTATTGAAGACTTATGCTACTCTTAATCAGTTGATATAAAAGTCATGAACAAGGATGTATTGAAGACTGCATATTTACGAAAAGAGTAAAATTTAATTTCCAAGTTCTGTCACCTCTATGAACAGAGGAAAAGCTGCAAATGTTTACTTTCACGTGAAAGGTTCATCTTTTGTGGACTTTGGAAATAGCTGTCTTCCTTATTTTCATTTCCAAACGGTCAGATATATTAAATGTATGAAGAGTATATTTATTTTTCCTAACCGAATAACAATGAAATGGTAACATAATTCGACATCCTATAAATAACTCAGCACTCTGTCTTTTTGTAGAACAGAGAATCACAACAAATCTTCAAATATGGCAACTATATCGAAAATCAACGAACTTTCTCCTCATAGGAATGGTTGGACGATAAGAGTTAGAGTTTTGAAGAAATGGTCTGAGATGATAGATGGAGGTGGTGACATATTGCGTTTTCTTTTGGTAGATGATCACGTAAGTTTATTTATCTTCTTCATTCTTTTTTGTTAACATTTTGATTTATTCGGTATGATAGGAACTGCTATTAGTCGTGTTTTATGTACTTTTAACAATAGAAATTGTTTAATCGATAGGATGGAAAAATACCTGCCAAGGTCAGTCAAGAAAATGGTCTCTATGAGAATTTGATGAACAGCTACACGAGGGCGACTGGAAAATCATCACTGGATTTACCGTAGAGTTGTCACCTCCTGGATTTCGTTTTGCTATGAATCACCATACCATCATCTTCACAGGTAATACTAATCTGCAGAGGTCATGGGGTGTCATCACAGACCATTACATGAGTTTCAAGAACTTCCGGTCCATAATGAATGGAGTATATACTTCCAACTATCCAATTGGTATGTTTTTACTAACCGAGCAATTATTAATGTTTGTGAAAACTTATTATCTTGAAGTAGTAATCAATAGTCATTTCATATTTCATAAAAAAATATATAGATACACTCTAACTATTCTTTGAAATAGATCTCCTAGGCTATCTAGATGGCGTTGGTGAAATAGAAGTTGTGACAGACCACACCTTTACACTAGGTGATAACATGCAAACTTCAAGAGTAACATTCACCATCAAGGATCTTGAGTAAGTATAGTGGATAGAGTTCATGATTTTTTTACCTAGGTTTAAATGAGATTAAGCTGTAAATGCGACTTTTATCATCAACTATATATACTTTCCATCTTTAGAGGTCGCACACTGGAATGTGAAGCCAGGGGAGTTTTGGGTATCCAACTCTACAATAAATGGTGGAGGCATGGTGGAACCGAAACATTCATCACAATGAGTGATTGGATGGTTTACACGGACAGAGGTATTTATCACAGTTGCTTAGGAAGTTTTGCATCTGTATAGATGGAATGTTACATAAGATAGCATCTAGATAGAGTACAATCGACTATCAATGACTAGCTAAGTTTCCAACGTATAGGAACCAACGAGATGAAGATTAAGGATGCTGGAGGAATCTCTAGATTTGAGTTCAATGCCCTTTACCAGGATGTTTATGAGTTCAGGGCAGCATAGTAAGTGATGAATGTTTCAATTAGCATTAGACTCGAAAATTTTTCTCTGTAACTAATAAAACAACCTCTGTGCAGTTTTAATGAGAGCGACCCTACAGGGATAGAGAGTGATGGTTCAAGTGTTGAGCTGGATTGGTCTCCCTGAAAAATGTGTTTCACTTGGAGGGAAAATAAGTTGAACTTAAAGTCAACTTAGTGAACTGTTCTAGACCTTGTGCTTCTATGCTGCCTATATTTAAATAATCTTTGGGGACTGTCGTTTGTTGTGTTTTCGTTGTCGTTTATAGACATTTTTACCTAATTAAATCATCCGTATGGATGTTGTTAAAGTTTTTCTCTTCAATTTTGGCCCATTTTCAACAAAACTGAGTCCATTATCGGAGATATGTTTGATCAGCTTAATAAATGTTTGTCTTTAA